CCACTTTTCTCCTCGACAATGGGTGATCGTCGAAGACGAGTTCGAGTAGTTCGACAATTTTTTCCCTCAACTTCTTATCTCAGAACCTCGAGGTAGCAAATTAAACTTTGGAGTAAACAGAAGTATTTCAGTTTCTTCCCTTTGGGTTCATTCTACTTTACATCTTTTACTTTTGGCGTTACCGAAGTCTTTCGATCAAAGGCCTACTTCACATTTACCCCAAGAAGTACCCTTGTCCTCTAGCCTGGAAAGTGGATGTTAGGCTGGTGTGCTTTGCTCCATCTTTTATATGAAACATCTATCCTTGTCCGTCCTCCTTTTCTTTGTAGCCTACATGTACGGTATGTCTTGTGATAAAACCGACTGACCCCAGCAGGGTAAATTTTTCAGAAGGAAATAACTTTTATTTCAAAACAGCGGTGTCTGGCGATAAATCAATGCTTTTAACAACACACTTATAAAAGCACTTAACCGAATAACAGCAGAATTTTTTTTTAATTCAAAAATCATTTTTAGTGAAACTGCGTGGGTAGGACGGTTATGTCCCTCAAATTTTTCAGGATAGAAGTGACCAACCCTCAATTTGTGGTTTGGACTGTCTTATCAGGAAGCTCTGCTGGCCTTGAGTACAGCTGGGAGCCAAGCTGCACTTGACAGTAACGTATTTGATCTGTTATTTCAATCATCATGATCTTTTGTATTACTAATTACATGTATCCTCCTCCTCCCCGACTAACATCCTCTTGAGAAGAAGAAGGAGGAGGAGGAAGAAGAAAGATGAAGAGGAGAAGGGCGATTTTATGGCTTATCAGTTACATTCATTTCAGTGCCAGGGAATCAATTGGGGCAAAAGTAGCAGCCACTAAGTTGTAGATTTACTAAAAGTAGAAGCAGAGCACAGCAATGGGTATTAACTACAGGTGACCCCCCCCCCCCCCCAAAAAAAAAAAATAAAGAAATAAAATAATAATAATAATAAATAAATAAATAAAATTACAACTTTTTTCTGAATATCTCGTACAAAAATGTTTCTAGAATTTGGAACTGACGTTATTCATTCAAAAGAAATGTGTTCAACATAAAATTCATAAAGACAAAACTTATCTTTGAAAACGAAAACAGATAGGCCCTACACATGAAGGCTATCTCGCTTTTTAGTTGATCAAAATTATCCAAATTTCACAATAACAAGCATAGTAAGGAGTCTTAAAATCCGCAGTCAAATTTGAGGGAAAATGTTTTGTTTCCATGAACACGGCTCCCTTACTGGATTTTATTGACTTGATATGTCTAACGTTATGAAACCGCACTTATTTTTCATGGAAATAGATTGGGTTTTTTGCATGCATGTTAGCAAACATTAATTCTACAAAATTGTCTGTTGAATTTTTCCTAAACGGATTTTATAACGGAAGAAATCAGGCTTTAGCCACTTTAGGGGGTTCTAGTGCTATGAAATAGTTGTAAGAGAGGCTGAAGAAACCAAAAAACGCCTTCCACTGAAAATTCATAATTTTGAGCCGAATCGGGACTTTTGGGGGTGTAGCTAAAAAAAATTTAAAAAACCTACATAAACTTATTTCGGCCACATATGACCTATATAAGCTAGCCCCTCACATGACCTTATTTAGGCCACATGTAGAAAAAAAAACCCTCTTCACATCTATTTGTTTCCATCACATCAGAACATGTAGGCTAATGAAAAATCTAGAATCAATCTAAGACTAAGTTCCTTTTCTGTATCTACGAATCTGCAGTTAAAAACTTGTGCTGGTGGTACATGTCTAAATTGCCCGTACCGAATTTATTTTAAAATGTGTATTTTCTTCGAAAGTGGATAGGTACACCTCGAGATGTAGCCTATCATCGTCATGTGTTAGGGTAAGGCAAGGTTCAAAAGAAAGGGAGGGGGGGGGGCATGGTGGGCAGCTTCGGTTCGATAGTATTCTTGCTATACATCTACTACTTCTACTACTTCTACCTAAATCGTCATAAAATGTTTTTTTTTTTTTTTTTACTTTTTTGAAAAAAAATGATTTGTTTAAAGTTTCTTTTTTTTGTGGTGAATCATCCCAGCATAATGTATTTGACCGAATTTTGAGTAAAACTGCCACCTGGCAACACTTAAAATCTTTGTATTTTGAGGATTTGAGATGACAGATTCGATGGCATGGTATATGTTTTGCTGATAGACTAGTCCTAACATATCTACATTAGATCATATACATACAGCAGTTCGTTTGTTTCTTAAGTAGATTTCTAGAACCACCCCTCACAATGGATTCGCAAGATCGAGATTCTACTGATCTTTAATTTAGTGAAGGGGATTATTTCAAAATAGATGAGTGATTCTGAAAGAAAAGTGGACGGACAAAGGGTAGGACTTGTGTGTGTGCGCGCTCGGGGGGGGGGGGTTGTGTGTGTGGCTGTGGTGAGAGAGAGAGAGAGAGAGAGAGAGAGAGAGAGAGAGAGAGAGAGAGAGAGAGAGAGAGAGAGAGAGAGAGAGAGAGAGAGAACATGTAATGGTGTGTATGTGTGTGTGAGTGTGTATAATGTGTGTAAGTGCGTGAAAGTTATATTGCGTTGCGTGAGTGTTTGAGTTGTACGGTCCAAGTGTACATCAATTTGTTGGGAATTTTACATAGAATGCACATATAGCAACAAAACACCTCTTTGCAAAGTCACATAAATATGTTTTTATACTTATAGATGTACAGGGTGATTTTAAAAATCACCCGCAATGATAGCCGGACAAAATTGGCACTATCTTTGCTGCTAATGGTCATATCGAGACAAATCCTACATCATTCTCTTTGCTTTTCTTAACTGCTCATAATTATTAAAGAGTAGGCCAACCAGGCAATAATTTTCTATTATTATGGACATTTTCTAATTTTTTAAAACTTTGTTTTTAGCGCTTTTCTCTTTAAAAAAATAATGGCCGTAAAAGTCAGCTCCTTATTCTTCTTTTTCAAAGTATTACGCGTACATTTGTGGGAAACTATGTTTTATAATTTCAAGTACATAAAAAAGCTAATAAAGTCAGACAAAATGTTTATCAGAGATATAGTGCATGTAGTAGGCCCATTGGAACATTTTATAAACCGCGTGAAGATGACCGGAAACGAACAAATTCATCTTATGATCTTCACTTGCACTTGCAATTTTTAAAACAGATTATTTGCAGTCTACCTCTTTTTTTCACACATTTTTCGGGGGCTCTCGTGGCCTAGAGGTTAAGGTGTTCGTCTCTCATTCGAAAGTCCTGGGTTCGAATCTGGGTAGCTACGGGAAATTTTCTTCTCTAAAATTGTCTCCTTTCACCTCCCTTCCTGCTCTCTAGCAATGTTCTGTCGTCTGCTTTCGCCTCCACTTTCTGCCCCCACCCCTCACCTCCCTTGCCCCCTCTTCTGGGCTCCTAACTCTTTCAGTAGCCTTTCTACTGCTACTCCATGGCTCTTTCTTGCTGCTGTCTTTCAGCCACACCCCTGATCTTCTGGTAGGAAAGATCTATTATCTATACCTTGCCTTCTCGGACAAGGGCTAAAAATCTCGGAGGTCCCGTGTGCAAGTTGCGCAAGTTAAAGATCCCTCGGTGGTCCAAAATCGATAACAGTAGGCTTCAGCCGCCACCCGGGCAAAATGCAAAATTTAATACCAACTGAAAATGTTTGGTGTCCTCACACTGTCCTGCGCGCTCAATATGACCTTATTCAGTTGCGAACGCTTTAGAACGCTTCACATTTTTCTTCAAATTTATGACAACTGTATTTTATTATTAGAAAATTAAAAACAATATTGAACCAGAGACTAGCTGTCTAGAAACTCCCATGCTAGTGCTATTCTTACGAAAGAAAATGGCACAATTTGATAATGTGAAAAAAAAGTAAAAATCATATCTAGAAAATAATAGCAAAATTGTTATGTACTGAAAGTCTGAGCAGAGGCTTATAAACTCTGTTCTCTACTAGATTCTAGTAAGTTTGCGAAAAACATCAGAAAAAAAGTTGGATCTAATAAAAGTAAAAGTGATTGGTATGACGAGGTTTGTTAGTATTTACTCTGGAAAATATAGTTAGAAGCTGAATCTAAAATTAACTAGAACTGTGCAATTCAAGTTTTGTTTCAATAAGTTAGATCAAGCAGATGTAGGCTCTCTGGCTGTTTCTAGCCTACTACTTACTTATTCTAGACAGGGAATCTAGACTTAACTATCATCTACGGCTTCTGGACTATTCAAAAGCCAAATATGGTAAAATAGAAACTGAATTCTTTTGTCAGTCGATGCAACACAAATTCCATAGCGGAACGTATTAGATTTCTAATAGTACTGAACAAATGCGATGCTGAAACAACACGTAATCGCAGTGCGCATGGGAGAGACCGGCCGATTCGGCGGTTTGGCTTTTGTATGCATTTTTCCGAAAAGGCCTATTAGCGTTGTGAAAACTTCAACCTATACTATACAACTCAGATGCCAAAAGATGCTAGAATGAATAATACTTCTTTATGTCTCAGCCAGTGGTTTTTGTTTTATCACGTTGTAAACATTGCCTTGTTTTCAAAAGCAAAATATAGTTCCCGTTCTACCGAATCGATTTTCACGTGAAGACCGCTATTTTGAAGATCTTTCTTTTCCTTTTAAAAAGATGTAGGCATTTTGGATGTGGCAGTGCGATTCACAAAACTGTGAGATGTTTAGACCCATCTACGGGACGTATCGATGCCGATTTGCCCTGCCGCGCGCACGTTCATTATACTGTCTTTTAGAAAGTGCTCTCCACTCGAACGGAGTTCAGGACGGCCGGGAATAAAAGGGATACCATATCGACATCCGTGAACGAAGTGTTCGTTGGCCCCATTAAAAAAAAACCCAACAAACAAACCGCCTACTTAAAAAAAATGAGGGTTTCGTTTCCGTGACATTACATTACAAGAAGAAAAAGAAGATAGAAGAACAATAATAATATTGGCTTGGGTTTTTTTTTCTTTTTTTTTTCTCCAATTTATTAGCAGACGTATTTGTGGCTGTACTTGATATGAAATGCATGTAGAGCTACTAGATCTACTATTTCATGGTCGCCTCACAGAACACTTGCACGTCCTTCAAGCCATAGAGAATTAAAATTTGTGCTGTCCTCCTTCGTCAGTGAAAGTCGTCACTGGTGGGCATGACGCGCTGTTTTCACGGCCCGCCTATTCGCTGCCATAAAGAGGACCGGCTGTTTGTGCTGGATAAGGGAACAGAAAATTTGCCGATTACCGGTATGTTGTTTGTTTTAAACACAGGTACCGAAAGTTAGAGGTGTTACAATAGAGTTGTAACGAATATACATGTCAACAACAAAAAAGGAGACAATATAACTCATGACAATAACAATAGATGTTTAATGACGATAGGAAAGACGGAAATCACACAAGAGCACCCCCCCCCCCAAACATCCCACCGATTGTAAGCGCTTTTAGTGATATTGCTTTGCAGTACATATAATATTATATTTAGCCAAGAAATGTATGACATTAGGTTTGAGGTCAGGGATATATTGTTATTGTACATTATCAGTATCGTAATATCATGCTCACAGAGGCTTGGCAAGTTGTTGGAGGGCGTTAATGATAGTTCCCATTTCTTTTCTTTCCCCTGTTGTTCTTGTCTCTTTGGTCCCTGTATTACTTTTCCCTTGCAAGATCGCTATTGTGTCGACGAGCTTCTCTCAACTCAAATAAACAAACGGAGAGACTTGTAGATTCATAGACAAAATAGAAATAATCAAAGCAAGCTACCTTGCTCTTGTCATGCGACCCGACTTTTATAGATTGGAAAGACCACCCACTTCCACAGTGCAGAGCTGAAGACCTACGGCAAACCAATAGTCCGGAGAGTAAGGTCTATAATTATACCGGTACACAAAAGGCGCATGTGGACCACCCAAGGAGTACTGTATCTGTATAGTACTCCTTGAGATCACCGCTTCATATTGCAGCACTCGCCAAGGGGCTATTATACGTTTAGTTAAAACTGACAGTTGGCCGTCCTTTCTGAAAGCTCGCCACTTTGGTAGCCTTAAACTTTCGAACCACTTAACTTTCGAATTTGAAAAAAAAAAGCTCGTCACTTTGGTAGCCTTAAACTTTCGAACCACTTAACTTTCGAATTTGAAAAAAATATAAAAAATAACAGCGATTCAGAGTCATTTAAAGGGTGCATAGTTATATTAAGGAGTCTGAAGTCACTGTAGTTTAATTTTCAGTTTTTCATTAGTTTCGTTTAGATTTAATCTTAGAAAAGTCCCTCTTCTAAGACGCCATTGTAAACAAGCGAGGCTTCCGTTCACAAGTAATGTGCACTGTTTAAACTATGACTTGACGATCGATTCTTTTTTTAAGTCGGCTCAAAGAACGGCTACCCAGCTAGTAGCCTGCATCATAGGCCTACTTAATGTATTTTTGGTAAAGATACTTCTTTTTGTGATCTTCAAAATCCCTCAAGAAAAAGAATCATTGTTATGAGTCATTCTGTTAATTTTGATACGCTGGTTCCGAATTTGATTATTATCATTAAAGTATTTTTACGATAGGACGTAGCCTACAATAAGTTTAAAAACGAAGATTTTATTGATGGCGCGCTGCAGGCATGCGACTATCCAGTCGGCCGCTAGGAAAAATCTAGCACAGCTGGCCGTGGGTGATAAAATTCTCGTTTTAAAGTTATTGATAACTAGATCTGCGTTCTATCGTGAAAATGATATCAAATTCGCGGAATAATTGCATAGAAATTACCATTCTTACTCTAGGGTGACTCTTATTCTTGCTGGATTTTGAGCATCACAAAAAAGAAGTACAGGATGTATTTTTTTACCGAGATTGTATCGTGATTTAATTTCTTATCACAAAGAGGACGGACAACTGTTAGTTTTAACTGAACGCGTAATGCTGCATTAACAGTACAAAATGTACGATGACCCAAGCAAAGACCATAATTTAACTATAAACTGCAACAGAGAAAGCCGTGAGTCAAACCCTCTAGTCTCCTATCAGCCTTTCTTGTACATGGAGTTCTTGTGAAGAGCTATGTGAGTTTAAAAAACAAAAAACCCAACCTCTTTAGCTTACTTGTAATAATATCGTGCTTTTCTACATAACAAAAGTTTGGACGTCGGTAATAAAATTATACTTACAGCAGTACGGACTTGTAGAATTGGTGTCCAGATAGAGACTTCCCAAAGCCTTGTTAGGGTCAGTGTTTAGACCCATCACGTTGCAGGCGTTGTTGGCACAGCTATTGCATTGGCCTGTCTCAAAATTCTCCTGCAAAAACACACGAAGTACACGTACAGTTTTATAATTTTGTTATTCAAAGTACACGTGTTACAAAAATACAAGTTAACCTCCCTTCCCCCCTCCCCCTTTTTCCTTCTCCCCCCCCCCCCCCACACACACACACGCAAAAAACTCCAAACCAACGAAGAGCTAACGGGCAAAAAAACAACAACAGAAAGTTTGTATCACACTCTGGGATATTCTATAATACCTGAAGGTAGACCTACGCAGCACCCCCCTGCTACTGACTGAAGTGTCTTTAGGCAATTCCCAAAGGGGGGACCTTAACATGTTATTTTGCCCAATAGAATTGTAAATGGGCTGATTCATCAATGTTATGCTCATAACCGTGTCTGAACTGCAGCCGGGAACTGCTGCTTTTTCTTTCCTAATCCTTACTATCGTCATTTTTCCTCTACTTCTTTTGTATGTTTGTCATACTCTTGTGACCCATCATTTCCAGGGTGCCTTGATAGTCGAAGCAGCCTTTGTGCTGTTGAAGCTAGAGAGGTGAGCAGAGTAAGCCTGATTACCTGTATAGACTTCTCTGTTGACATCCACCCCTTGGCGCTCATATGACCGTATGCGGTTGCGAGCGCAGTAAAACTCTTCTAAAACTAAATACTAAGACCTATGCATGTAGCCTACTACTTTTCAGGATGCTACACCTGTCATCATCAATCACAATTTTAATGATAGGCTCAATAATTGTTGTTTTTTAAATGTGAGTGTGTTTTTACGTCCCCATCAACTTGAATTATTTCATTTAGGAGGCAGTCTTCGGCGCTGCCTGTTATAAGGGCCAACCCGGGCTGAGAGTTAAGTTTTCCCTCTCCGGTGCTCTGGGCTTGACCTTGAGAGGTGGTGTCGAAGCCCGCCTCCTATAAAATATAATCTAAGCTGAGTCGATGGGGGTGTAAAATACATACACCAATAAAAAAGACAAACAAACAAACAGGTAGACAGACAGACAGACAGACAAAGACAGAAACAAACAAACAAAAGAACTCACATATGAGTCACATTTGTAGGCGGTGAATGTACACTGTGACTTGATGGACTCCAGGAAATATTGATGGGACCTGCCGTGGCTGCAGGCGAACAAGTCCGCGAGAGATCTGCGCTCTGCGAAGTAACAAGGGACAGGTAAATAATGAACACGGGGACTTGGTGGTTGTAAAATCAATAAGAATAGAAGGCTTCTGCCGGCACCCAGGCAAAATTCAAAATTAATTGCTACCAAAACTGAAAATGTATTATTCAGTAGGCCCATTCAAATAATTTATTAAAAAACGACCACCCCCCCCCCAAAGAAAACCCAACAACAAACAAACAAACAAACAAACAAAACAACAACAAAAACAACAACAATAAGCCAAACCAAAAAAGCCAACAACAACAACAAAACACAAAAACACACACACAGAAAGCAAACAAACAAACAAACAAACAAACAACAACATTAATATATAGAGTACTTCAAAAGTGGCATGGGGTTGCTTGAAGGCAAGGAGCCTACGAAGAAAAACCACCAGTCCCTGAGTGCCAACCTCGGTGGTCTCGCCCACTAGTTAGCCATTTAGGATTTGGGCGGTGGGATCACCCTGGTGGTTAACGCACCCACCGAAAAAAAACAAGAAATAAAAACACACCAAAAAAAACAACAACAGAAAAGCGCAAAAACCCAAACAAACAAAAATCTCCCCACCCCCCAAAGATTCCCCCCAAACCGCCCCCCCCCCCCAACAAAAAGCAACAAGCAAAAACAAAAAGCAACTCCAAAACACCCCCCCCCCTTTTCCCGAAATATAAAAAACAAATAAAAAACATCTGTTTACATAGCCCACTCCCAAACAACCTGTTCCTTGTCCCCAACAAAACACGAGAGCTTTGATTGGACGTTTTACCGAACGTTTTCCTCGTGAGGAAACACGATTAAGCGAAACATTACTAAGTAAAAGAAAAAATTACACTTATCTTCTTCCTAAAGGCCAGCCAAACAGAAGTCCAAACGCTTTTCTAAAATTATAATTAGGGCATATTAATTTTCAAAAGGTAGGAGATTTTCATATGCCTAGCTTTCCCTTCGTCACCAAGGAATTCTATATCAATTTATGCCCCCTCCCCAACCCATAACTCACATAACGTGTATAATGTATGTTACATTTTTTTAAAGTAAAAAATGTTTACATTTCAACAGTTGCTAGCAAAATTTGATTTGTCGTTAACAGATTCAGGTAGGGAAATTTATACGATAAAAATATTCAACCTAATTCCTACTTACTTCCGACCAAACTACCAAGAATGGAAGAGACATAGATATCATGACAGCCGGGCTGTTTGCGTCCACCGTTGACGTAGAAGTCGACCGTTCCACTCTCTTGGTGAACGCCATAGCCATACCTTTGACCCTCAGGTTCCGCTTCACTGTTTGTGTGGATTATGTCCACAAATTTGGCGTCTTTGGCGTCTAGTCTGACATCCTCGTGCAAGAACTCGTAGCTTGGCCTTGCAGGGTCCAAGCCTGGAGGAAATAATATTGTCGTTCTTTTGGTGTTTGGGTTGTTCTATTATTATTAGGTTTGCTCTTTTATTGTTTAATTCGTTCTTTTATTGTTTGGTTTATTCTTTTATTGGCTTGTATAGCACGAGTTTAATGCCCACTCCGCACAAAAGCCCCCCCCCCCCCTACCCTTTTCCCCCTTCTCCCTGTACTAATAATAATATGTATTCCCCAAAAACTGGTGTGTGTGTGTGTGTGTGTGTGTGTGTGTGTGTGTGCGTGTGTGTGTGTGTGTGTGTTTGTGTGTGTATGGGCGCGTGTGCGCGTGTTTGTATGTGCGTGTGTGTATGCGTGTGTATTTGTGTGTGTGTGTGTGTGTTTGTTTGTGTGTGTGTGTGTGTGTGTGTTCGTGTGTGTGTTTTTGTGTGTGTATGTGTGTGTGATTGAGGACAGAGTGCTTTCTTGACTGGCTGGAAGATCTTAATTTGATCATATGATTTTTTAAATAAAAAAGTTGATCTATCGTCCTTGTCTCTCCCCTCCTTCTTTTTTATGTTTGTTACTCTCTTGTAACACCTCTAATCTTCGGCACTTATATGACCTTATTGTGTTGCAAGTGCCGTAAAACTCTTACTAAAACTAAACTAAAAAAAGTTGTCAATCTCATTGAATTTTTATAACAACAGGGAGAGTTTGATCTGACTACGATGTTACCTTTTCTCAGACACAGAAACCACAGACACATTACGTAGCTTCTGTTTGATTGTTGAGGGGAGTTAGTACACACTTTTACTGTAAAAACACTTAAAAGATATTGTAAGTATTGTATCTCAAATTTGGAATTGCTCAAAAACGTTTTTCCCTGAGAAATTAATAAACACTTATTTGAACTAGATCTAATGAGAGACAGCCTAGTCTGCCTAGATATAATACATGTATATAAATACTCACCTGTAATACGCCCCACTTGTCCATTGAGCAGTTTTCCAGCGGTGCCACTGGTTTGGGCTCCCAGAGAGTGACCAATGAGGTGGACATCGTTCAGGTTGAGACCTTCGGCTACCATTTCGTTCACCACAACTTTGATCTCAGCGCCGACAAGGCGAGTGTTGGCCACGGCCTGTTCATAATCAGGAAACGCCGCACCTCTTGCCCATCCCACGAGTACCACGTTGAAATCTCCCTGAAAGGAAACAAATAGAGTAGTGTACAATGTGTATAAATATGCAGACTTGTATAAAATCAAGTACTGTAAGTTTTGTATAAATAAGGAATTTAGTTTTGTATAATTAATTAATCTTAGTTTTGTGTAAATAAGTAAACTAGTTTTATATGAATATTAAGTAAACTCAGTTTTCATCAAATAACCCGCCGTTACTAAACAACGTCTCTCCTGAGACTATGTCAACTCTTATGGAAATATGCAATGCTCATAGTTCATGGGTTTATCCACAAAATAATTGCTGATAATGTTTTTGCCTGTATCCTGCTCAAAAATGCACCTGGGCTTGGGTATGGTTAAGCATAATAACTTACCGTGTCCAAGAGAGCATCTTTAATGGCGACCATCCATTTGTTAGAGAGCCTTCCACCGAAGCCGTGGACGATAAACTTGGTGGGGTTTGAGCTATTGAAGTCACTACTGGCAAAGGAGGTTGAGTCATTGTACAAAAGGTCCTGGCCGTCGGTTCTGTTCAGGCGAGTGAACAATCTGGACAATACCAAAAAAAAAAAAAAAAAAAAAAAAAAAAGACAACAGCTGTAAGGGATTTTAGTTTTTAGTAAGAGTTTTATCGCCCTTGCAATACAAATAGGGCATAACATAAGTGCTGAAGATTTGAGTTGTTACTAGAGAGTGACATACAAAGACGAGAAGGAGCAGAGATAAGGGAGATAGATGTTTGATAGGAAAGAAGGAGCAAACCCTAGGCGATTATATGACCGTCTAGAGCAAACCGCACCAGAGAGACCGACAAACATCCACTGAATGATTTTGGTGGGGTTTTGGTGTAAGTAACAGAGATAAGATGAAGGTGAACGCTAATGACCGATAAAGAGCGAAAGTTGTTTTTTGAGCATGAAGCGATAGTGGAATGTGTGTGTGTGTGTGTGTTTGTGTGTGTATGTGCGTGTGCGTATGTGTGTGTGTGTGTGTGTGTGTGTGTGTGTGTGTGTGTGTGTGTGTACACGTGTGAGTGCACGTGTTTATTTTAATGTGAGCATGTATTGGTGGGCATAATTAGGTGATGGCTGCGTGTACAGTGGCCATTAGGTAACAATAGGAAGATATGACCCACACTCATGCGCTTGGAGATATGTGGACATAATATTTTTATAAATGCTAGAGCTTGTATTGTCGAGAGCGGTTTACATCCCCACAACATAATGTGTTTCATACAGACTGTGAGCTGCTTTGACTTTGACTGTCAATGCCAACCTGAGCTTGATGGGGTATTTCCAAGCATAAACAAATTTTTTTTTTTTTTTTGGGGGGGGGGGGGGGGGTGTGTGACCGACAAGAAAAATCATTTCCCTGGTGGAGATCAAAATCGGATCCTATACTTGCAGCAAGATGAGCCGTACCAGTACGAAATAGAGACGCCTATTGGGATGACAAAGAGCTTTGTTAGGAAGTGATAAATCGACCTCTAGCATTTTGTATCAGTTAGAACAGAGGTAATAGTTTTGTTGACACGACAAAGAAAAAAAAAAACACTATCATTTGTTAATTTGTTTGCTTGTTTTTGTCAGAAAGTTCTCAGTGATCTCCATATATCTGATGTTTATTATAATTGTTGTTTCTTGTCTGTTGTTGTTTTAGTCTGTTTTTTGTTTGTTTTGGTTTTGCTATGCCATAACTTGGTTAAAGGATCTCCACAGACCTGTGGTTGTTGTTATTATTGAGGTTGTTGATGTTGATGTTGTTGTTTTTGTTTGCTATTATTATAGTTTTTGTTAATGCTGTTGTCATTGTGCTGTCTTTGTTGTTTTTGTCATTGTTGTTGTTTTTGTTGTTGTTGTTGTTGCTGCTGCTTTTAAAAAAAAAGGTTTTGTCTAGCTGTTTCAGAACTTGATTTATCGTTATCTTCATAGACCTTAACTAACGGCGCTCATCCTCACAACAAAGACCCATTGTGAATACTTGCTAATTTTGCAAACACAGCAGGCATTTGAATAGGAGACAGTGACAATCTGAAATGAAACATCAAACACAAAATACACCAGGCGCCCGTTAATGCTGTACCTGAAAACAGTGCCGATCTGTTCGGGCGACTTGGGCACTCTTCCCTGGGCGTTGTCGAAAGGAGCTTTGTTCTCGAAACAGCCGAGATCTGTGTAGCATACCTTCCTGTCGGGGATGGGAGTGGTATCTTCACAAACCGCCAACGCAGCTTTTGTAGAAAAAAACAAACAAACGAAAACAAAACAAAACATTAATGAAAAAAAATTGTACATGTATTAGCCATTGTAGTTGTGGATTACAGTTATTTTATTTGGCTTAATAATACAACTATAGATCTAGTTCGTCCGTCAAGGTCCAACGATGACAAATACATCTGCAGAGGTATTATTTCTTTAGTGAAATGGAAGACCTAAAGAGGTTACAATGACTTGAGCTTTCTGCTAAGGCCAATTAGGTAAAGTCTGGCAGAAAAATAGTTGACCTCATTCGCGGATGTGCGCAGTTTTTTTTTGTGGGCTTCTCTCTTACATGTGTAGCCTCAGTATGTATTACTCGTAAAGGCACATGACTTGCCTCCCACTGTGATGGCTGCTCTACATGTGGGTCTCTCGGGAGCTAGGCTCTCCCATGTGGAAAGATTTATGTAGAAATCCTCTAGACATTTTCAGGGTGTCTTCACAGCGCTATTTTGGTACACCAATTTGACACTTCCCTGACGACAGGTGAGAATTGAATACTGCCTTTGGGATTCTGAAATTGAGCATTGTCACGGTATGGCCAGCCCAGCGCACTTGAGTCCTTTTGAACTTAGAAAACAGACTGTCGCCATTTGCCCATTTGAGAATTTTGGTATATGGTATTTTGTCCTACCATAATTCGGTGCCAAGAATTCCCCAGAGGCATTTCATATGGTAATAATTAAGCTTCTTGGCATCGCTTTGGTACATTATCCAAACACTGAATATAATAATTGCATTTATATAGCGCATATCCATGCTCCGCAGTTCGCCCTGTGCGCTTTGAAACAGACAAAGAGACACAACTCACGAACGAGGGCGAGAAAAACGTAGATCAATCCCATGTTGCAGGCCCAGATTGAGGTGGTCAAGTGATCTGCAACAACGTTGTCTTGAGCCTTATCACAAACAGTCTGGAACCTTTTATCCGTTCGTCTAAGCCTTTCTTGGATAAGGTACACATTCGTTTTGGGAATAACGTACTTACGTACAGGCTCACGTGACTAAAATACAGATAAAAACTGGAGCATACCGCCTCATATTACCACGCAAACATTTGTTGTTGGAAAAAAGAGTCCGGGGTTGTTTGATTAGTTTGTGACAGTTGCTATGACTTTTGCTATATATAAATTTAAAAAAGCAACTGCGGTTTTTCTGAGATGTCCGGTTTAAATCAAAGAAATAACACACACACACACACACACACACACACACACACACACATAAAGACACACACACACACACACACTATATATATATATATATATATATATATCTATATATATATATATATATATATATATATATATATATATATATTATATACATCTATATCTATATCTATTTCTATTTCTATATCTAATTCTCTATCTGCATCTGTATCTGTATCCCTATCTCTATCTTTCTCTCTATGTATCTATCTATGTATCAATTATGTGTCTATGTATCTATCTATGTATCTATAATCATCCAACTTTCAATCTGTTTGTGTGGCGCTCGATTTTTTTTACCGATTACATGTTTCCCTTGTGTGAATTATGCCATGATATAATTTTTGATTCAAGAGATCACTTGCGATGGAGAGATCATATTCTTCCAAAATCATTAAGGATGGATTTTTTAAAAATTCGTTATAAAATAGTAATAATCTATGTCACGCGAAAAATGGGATTGTTCACAGCTTTTCCCGCTTCTCACTCAAATTTTACGTGCGCACCAGCCTACGTCACAGCTTACCAATGATACTTTTTAGTAGCAAAACTTATCATAAAAAATATAATTTTATAGTCAATACATTTTGCACCAAAGGTTCTCAAAACAAGCGTTCAATAAAAATATTGTCTCTATTAGCAAAGATAGTACATAACAAGATGGGCCACTCAGCCAAAAAAGTGTCCGCAGGAAGTGCGCTCTTTGCTTCAGATGGCGCTGCAGTCTGTTTTGAAGCTCTCTTTCGTTTTTCCAGAAGAAGAATAGGAATAGCACCCCCTGCGTGCGCAGATCGACTGCTGTTCATCAGCAGTTCAGGTTCGTTCAGTGTGGAGTTTTAGTTTTTTTTTATATTTTAATGACCTCTGGCCTTTCATTCTAAAGTCAAATTAAACGAAGAAAACAATCACCCTTTCCTCCGGAAGAGGTTTTTTGCCAGCGTAACCATTTAAAATTCCGAAATTTATTCAAAAACTTGCTAGTTTCACTTTGATTTTTAAAACTCAAGTAGGGTAACTCTGTTCGCAAAAGGTGCACTTTTGTGAAGAGGGCGCCACCGAATTTTGAGGACACTTTTTTAATTGGCTCAAAGAGAGAAGTGGCCCCTCTTGTTATGTAGACTCTTTGCTATTAGAACAAAAAAGACAGATTTCCTTTTAAAAGCGATATTTCCCTAACTAGCAGTAAACCTTTTAAAATCTGTAGAAACCACCCAGATTTTTAGTTAGTATTGATCAAGAAATTTTCAAGAATTCGGCTAACAGGGGTTTACAAAACTATCTATTAAGCCAAAATGATAAAAGCAATTGTGCGAAAGCAGGAGCGTCTATGTTCTATAGTTTAGGAATTATTTATCAATAAGTTGCGCCACGGTATTTTGACCACACAATAGGCTCCTTGCCCTGAAAGGCAAAGGCGTGAGTTAATGTTCCGTAGTTTTCTTTTCTTTTTCGCTGGGTTTATGAACTCCTGGGCTCGTTTCATTCCTGGCAGACAGAATCGAATTCTATCGCCTAAACAGCCTAATCTAATGCAAAACACTTTCAAATGGTCTTAAACAAATCAAGTTGAATTGACCAGTGAGGATTCAAAATGTCATATATTGATAATATTTGAAATGGTCGAATAAACGGTAAGAAGAAAGATTGCCTCGTACTTCTGTTAAAGTCAGTTGACTGTTTTTAAGCCGCTTGTGATATGGCTGCCACGCAGGACAGATTGAAGTGGAGGTTCATGATCGACCACGCCAGTCGGCAAGGCACTGGGTGATATTGATGATGATGATGATGATGATGATGATGATGATGATGATGATGATGATGATGATGGATGATGAGGATGATGAGGATGATGATGATGATGATGATGATGATGATGATGATGATGATGATGATATGGTTTGATTATCCCATCCTCCCTCCGCTCCCCCCCCCCAACTTTACGAGCCTTAATTCAAGGGCCAAAGCTCGCACATGGAGGAACTGGAAGATGTGAAATCACTCGGTTGACACTTAACCTTCACAGGCCTTTGTACGTGGTGTAGCGGTTAGGCTCTTCGCCGTCGCACAACGGAGACCTGAGTTTGATTCCCATGTGCATAATTCCAATCAAGTATCTCAGTCTTTCTATTGGGGACGTTGTATCTCTTTCAGCCTAGTTTAGCTCTGACAGGCAGGATCGAAACCAGCCTCCTACATAATTTTCATTGGGTCCATGAGGACATAAAACACTTTAATAATCAAAAATAAATGAAAAAACACTTGAACTTCCCCTCCTGGAAAAGTTGACAACGCTAGCCACATTGCGCCCAATTAACTGAGTAACCAAGGTCGGCAAGGGCAAAGAAAAGAATATAGCTAGATCTATTTGAGTCACGACGTTTGGAATCAGGCGCTTGTCAATATTTTTGGCCATGTAGAGTTCCTGGTATCCTCTTAAAACCTGTTCATTTGCATTGCTTTTGATGAAAAAAAAATAAAATGTTCATCATGAACAGAAGTCGACATATTTGCGATTGAAGGTGATGGAGGTCGCTTGGTTTCAGAGGTAAAATTGGCGAGAAAAAGGCCGCCAAAGTTTGTTGACTTCCAAATCTTGAGAGTCCTTGAAAACTGAAAATCTGCCTTTTTGTGCCTTTAATCAATGTTTTTCAGATAAATCCACAGAGAAATGTGTTTTTAATAATAATAAGAAGAAGAACATTTGTATCCCACCTTTCCCTACAGCATGGGCCCAAGGCGTACATAGGAGATTAAAAACGCATTCATACTAACACCATACAAATTCATCATGTGCACACTTTTTGACAGCAACATTCTTTCATACAATACAAAATGCTCATACAAAAAAGCAAAGGTACTGTCCATTAATTAAAATATTTCTTAAATAGATGTGTTTTGAGTCCCCTTTTGAAGGTATCACGTTTTATTTCGCTCCTCAAATC